AATTTCCAATTTTTCATGATCAAATTTTATTTTAAATTTTAAACTTTTTGTAAGTTTTTTAATAACTAATTCTAGCATAAGAAATCTGACGTATTTTTAGGTTATTTAAATAATTCGTCGTTCCGGTGCTTATTAATTCCGGATTCGACGATGAGTACAACTACATCACCTAAATCACTGTCAACACCACAAAATGCTGCCTTAGCTACAGGATATAGTCGCCTTTACTTGTCTACTGCCGAGAAACGGATTCGGAACCGGAGTTTGTGTAGTCTGCTTTGGACCCCGCCACTTTATCCGGGATATTCTGCTAAATTAGAAAAGTCGTCAAAAGTAAGCCATGGGCAATCTTCGTGGAAATTGCATGCAAAATCTGAAAATGCAACATTATCTGATCTAACATCACCCAACACAACTATTCCTCAATTTTGTTTGCTACAAGGCAGGAATAACGCTGAACCTACTCATTCACTTAAGGCAAATCTTTTTTATTTATGAAAAAATAAAAATAAAATATTTACAATTAATAATTTACAGCATTTAGTAAAATAAAACAAAAAACTGAATAAATATTTCAGCATAAACTTACATAATTCAATTGTGAGTACTATTATCTGATAGATTTTATATAATATTTAAAAAGACTATAAATATTTTAAAAAACTTGTTTTATTTTGACTGTAATTTCTTGTTTTACAGCAAAAAATATCATTGTTACCAGTAGAAAATGAAGAGATTAACTGGAGTAGTCCAAAAAAAGAAACTAATTCGAAGGAATCTTCTGGCTATGGTTCTGGAGCTTCAGAATCAGATCCTGAAAATGATCATCATTCTAAAAAAGTGCCGTGTCTTCGTTTAAGCGAATTTTTTAAATAATTTTATAAATATTCTTTTTTTTTTAATTTACAAATAAAAATAGGGATATTTGGTTGAAGCATTAATTTCAATGAATTAGCTTTATCAATCGTTTATCAATTAGTTTCTTAAATAATACCTTTGCTAATCTCCAAAAAAAATTTACTCAGTACTGGCTGTAGTTACTGTAACAAAAAGTTACTATTTCTCTTATTGTACTTATTATTATTATTTTTTCAGAGGAATTTTTTTTCAAAAAAATTATCATTACTTATTATCATTATTACTTTTTTCAAAGGAAAATTGGATAAATTTAAGTGATTAATTTTTGCAAATTGTCTAGTAAACAATTTTTAGATTTATAGTAAAAACTTGAAAAGAGTAAAAAGTATTGAAGTAATTCAAAAGTAATTTTTTCTTTACTTGCAGGCACTTAACTCAGTACAAACTGGCAATACAGTATTGAATGTTGCAAATGTAATCACTACTAGTAATAATGAAGTTAATAGCAATATTATCAGCACTGATATTGATAATATTGACATTGGTGCAGTAAATATTATCAGTGATAATAATCAAGCAGCAGATGAAGATTTACGCACTTCAAAACGAACTCAAGCAAGGCAACTGCGCAATCGTCATGTCACGGTTTGCTTCGCTTTTATTTTAATTTTTTACTCAAATAATCAATTGCAATAGATTAATTTATACATTTATATTTACTTCATGACAAAGTAATGCATGATTTTGATACTTTTCTATTTGAGCAAAAAAAAATTAAAATAAAAGCCAATTTGAGCAAATATTTCATGTCAATACTTTTTAATACTCACTAATTTTTGAATATTTCCTTACATTTTTGAATACGTTTAGAATGGAGAATATAAATTTCAAATCTATTAATATTTTTAAATTAAAATTAACTTTGAAAATTTACAATTGCGTCGAATAAATAAGTTAATCTCCAGAAAACATTAAAATTAGTTCGCAAAGTTCCAACTTCATCTTTTTTATGAGAAAAACTTTAATTGCTTACTTATAAATTGCACATATTATTAAACGTAAATATATTCGTATTAGATAGAGAAAGCAAGACGCAGAAGCATTCCTGCTTGTCTTCGAGACGCATTTTCAGGTAAGTTTTTTCAATGCTTTTGCCCATTCTTACCTTATAAGTTCAATAACTTTTAGCATTTTGTGTAATTTTTCAAGACAAAATATAATATTTATGAATTCAAATTGATGAAATATATTCCTCTCATCTCAAACTTTCAATTTCTTTTATGCTTAAGTATAAGTATAACTTTCAGTTTAAACTTGTCACATTTATACTGCAAACTACAAAAGAAAATATTTGAAAAGAAAATATTCGAAAATATTTTCATGTTTATCAATTCCTTTTACATAAATTAAGTAATTTGAATGCATCCATACTTTTATTAAGTAAATCAGCTAATTAATTAATTTTTTAAGTTGAATGCAGATTATCTTTTTTTAGCAAGTCAAGTGAAATACGCTTTAAATTAATTTCAGTTTACTGACTAGATCAATCTTATTTTTGTAGATGAAATCGCGCGTGTACTTGAGATCAACGGGGTTTTGCAGTATGAAACAGATGCTGTTAGTTTTCGCAAATAATTTTTATTAGCATATTTATTTTTTTATTCGTTTAATTATTTATTTACCTGTTTTATATCAAGCAAAATCAATGAACTGATAAACTTATTAAGCTAATGAGCAAACAGAATTCTTGGCTTAAAACAAATCAATATTTTATGTATTTGGAATTATTATACTTAATTAAGATTGAGTCCAAAAGTTGAAAAAAGTAATCAAATAAATTAGTAACTGTGTGACGTGTACTTCATTGCCAAGAAATTCAAGTTCTATTCCGAAGCAGAAATTGAATACCGATAAATTTAAAAACTTTTTATATAAATTTTTAATTCAGAATTGAATTTATTTTAGGATTATCAAAAAATAAAAAATACTCTTTTCTTCTGTAGCAAAGATTTTCATTGTGATTTTTTTTTTTATTTCTTAAAAAGTTTTTAGTTTAGAAACTTTTAATTGAAACTTTATGAAAGCCACGAAAAATTACGCCTAAGCAGTATAGGTTTTCTATCACAAAACACTTATAATATCTTTGAAAACAGTCTCAAATTTAAATTTTTTGCATGTCAAGCATAAACATGA